TCAATTATTTCCCTTGGAGGAGGAGCGGAGGCGTGTCTTGTAATTGTAGTCCAGGGTGCCTGTGCCTGTTTGCTAGGGATGCACCAATACCGTTTTTTCCAGTATCGAGCACGAGTACCGATATTTATATTTCGGTAATCGCCGATACCTGTACTTTTGGTAGTATAGAGCCGACTTCCAGGGCAATCAGGAAGCCAGGCGGCGTGTCATTACCCACCACCTGACTTCTTGATTGCGCGGGAAGCCAACTCTATTCTGTTTGGTTGGCTTGATGCTGATTGGTTGGGAAGCCTTCTTCCCAGCCAATCGGCATTGAGGCCAGCTAAACAGATCTGACAATATGGTGACACGACCCCCACCCTGCAGGCACCTCATTCCCCTCACATAGATCCTTAGCAGCAGTCATTACCGTAGCGGTGCCAGCTGGGCAGACAGCTCTCTCCAAGCTCCCCGGATCTGCCCGCGTATCCTGTGTGTACAGTGCCAGCGTGATCGGCCCTCGGCCTGCTACTGCGCATGCGCAGACTGCCCATCCCTCTTATTCAGAAATCCTGGGCTGATCACGTGGGCACTGTTGTGACATGGAGTTCTCACTGTAGGTGACCCCTTCTTATGAGTTTTTTTTAATCATGTGCCAAGTTTGAGCTAAACAAGTCTATAACAGGTTCATTTATAAAGCGGTAGGTTAGGAACACCTGTTCAACTGCTCGTCAATGGAACTATCGGATCAGCCAATCACACGGCAGCAACTCAAAGCACCAAATTTGGACAATAGAAGATTGGAAGAACGTTGCCTGGTCTGATGAGTCTCAATTTCAGCTGCAACATTCGGATGGTAGGTGCAGAATTTGGAGTAAACAACATGAAATCATGGATCCATCCTGCCTTGTATCAATGGATCTGGCTGGTAGTGGTGTAATGGTGTGGGGGATATTTTCTTGGCACACTTTGGGCCCCTTAGTGCCAACTGAGCATCGTTTAAACGCCACGGCCTACCTGAGTATTGTTGCTGACCATGTCCATCCATTTATGATCTTCTGATGGTGACACTCCCGGCAGGACAATGCACCGTGTCACAAAGCTAAAATCATCTCAAACTGGTTTCTTGAACATGATAATGAGTTCACTGAACTAAGATGGCCTCCACAGTCACCCTGTGCACCTTGTAGCCGACAAATCTGCAGCAATTGCGTGGTGTTATAATGTCAACATGGACCAAAATCTCAGAGGAATGTTGCCAGCACCTTGTTGAATTTATGCCAGGAAGGAGAAAAGGGGGTCCAACCCAGTCCTAGCAAGGTGTGCCTAATAAAGTATCAACCGAGTGTATAAGAAGCTGAAGTCACCAGCAAATCTGCACGTTTCCTTGGCCCCACCCCTCTCACCTCCTTAGTCTTCTTATTGGTCAGTGAAAACAACTTCCATAATTGCAAAGCAAAAGGCCCCGGAGGTGGAAGAATCCAGACCAGACTAATTGTGAAAAGATTCAGTAATATATACTAACAGTGCTGAAGTGAACCTGCTGCAGGCAGGACTTGTCCTATTGGCCAGTGAGGCAGCCAATCATAGTGGTATATGAATGTGCTGCAGTTGGCGGTAGCAGCAAGCTTTGCTCTTCACCTGCAAGGTTTTGGAGATCAATGCGAGTATGTGCTGGATCCTTTAGGTGCATAATATACCAGCAGAGGGGTGATCAATGTTAGTAACAGGGACACTTTAAAGAGAAGAAACATTTGGGGTTTCCCCATCTCACAAGAGGTTTTACAATTAAATGAGTTGGTCTTTGTAAGAGAGCCCTTCTCCACTGACCACCCATGTAAGGGGACCCTTCTCCACTGACCACCCATGTAAGGGGACCCTTCTCCACTGACCACCCATGTAAGGGGACCCTTCTCCACTGACCACCAATGTAAGGGGACCCTTCTCCACTGACCACCCATGTAAGGGGACCCTTCTCCACTGATCACCAATGTAAGGGGATCCTTCTCCACTGACCACCCATGTAAGGGGACCCTTCTCCGCTGACCACCAATGTAAGGGAACACTTCTCTACTGACCAATATAGTGTATACCCAAAGTTATGATGACAAACAAGTATGAATATTGATGCATTTCTTCCACTCATTCATTACATTGTCACGTGGTTGCTGCTCCAACATTTTCTTAGAAAAACGAAATCCTGGAGCCAGTTTAGTTTCTGTCTCGTTTTATTGATGATAAAATAATTTCTTTGACAAATAGTTTTGTAGTCCTTTTATACTCCTCAAAAATACCCACTTTATGGTTCTTATTCACAATATTTCCTTCACAATACTCTGTAAATACAATTATCTTCATTCCTTACTCTTTGTGTCATGTGCTCTGGGTAGTCTGCCCCCGAGCTTGGCTTGGGGTGTGTCATGTACAAGGTTGGAGAAGCTGACAAGGCCTCAAGCCTGGAGGAGGCCAGATGTGGACCCAGGTGTGATCTGGAATTATCTGGGAAGGGTACAAGAGGAGCCCTATGACTGCTGGAGGTGCCAAGAAGACCAGGATGGCATGGACCTCAGGAACCATTCTGGTGTCTCTCCCAGGGAAGATCTCATGAATATCTCTATTGAGCTGTTGTTAGTGATAGGTGAGTCTGGAGTCTATGTTTGCCTGAAGCCCTCTCCCCTCTCTCCCAGTTCTGATTGTTCTACAATAAAGCATTGAAAGAGTCCTTGAAGTGACTGGCGCCCAATTTGTTGATCGCAAGTCCCTTCACTAGCTTAGGCTCTATCCATGAGAGTGACATGTCAGCCCTCCCTGCCTCCGGGGGCCACCATAGGCCTCTTCTATTTATATGATTGTATCAATTCCTTGGAAGATACAAATGACCAATGTCTGTTTTTTGTTGTTTAATAATCATTTTGGCACTCGAGCATTTCTTACATTTGTACCAGTGTCAAGTTTTTTTTGGGGGAAACACTGGATATCGGGGGAAAATGACACAAATGTCTCACATTCCTGAAGATATTTAACATATCTCAGTATATAATGAAGATACGCGGCGGAATACTAAATACAATTTATGGCTTCTTTCTTTTTGTTCTTTTGTTTGTTGGGAAGAATCTGGTTGATATTATAAATCTGAAGAACTTCCATTAGCACTCAATACATTTACATTTTCCAGCAGCTGCTCAATGTTCCTACACAGAGGAATCTGGTTGTTGAAGAACTGAGTTTAAACTTACTGACGGAAAATCGCAACCACCCTTCTGCGGATCTCCTTGGTCCTGGCTCCGTAGATCAAGGGATTACACATGGGTGGGATGAGAATGTAGAGGTTGGCGAGGGTGATGTGAATATGGAGGGGGATGTTGTGCCCAAACCTGTGAGTAAAGAAGGAGAAGAGAGCCGGGATGTAGGAGATCAGGATGACACAGATATGGGGGCCACAGGTGCCCAAGGCCTTGCGACGGGCTTCCCTGGAAGACAATCTGAAGACCGCTCTGAATATGCCACAGTACGACACAGAGATACAAGCAATGTCCACAGCAATGACCAGAAGTGCCACTGTAAGGCCGTACGCCTGATTGATGGTGGTGTTCGTGCAAGCGATTTTTACTACAGCCATATGTTCGCAGTACGTGTGAGAGATGACATTGGTCTGACAGTACGACAATCTCCGTATCAGGAAAGGAGCCGGAGCCATAAAGAACGATCCACGAATGATTGCCATGACCCCAATCTTGGCGATGATGGTGTTGGTCAGGATAGAGGTGTATCTGAGAGGATGGCAAATGGCAACATAACGGTCAAAGGCCATCGCCAAAAGAATGGTGGACTCCATCATAGATAAGGCGTGGATGAAGAAGAGCTGGGCCAAGCAAGCACTGAAGCCAATCTCTTTTGAGTTGAACCAGAAGATACAAAGGATCTTGGGGGTGGTTGTGGCTGATGCCACGAGGTCTATAATGGCCATCATGGAGAGGAAAAGGTACATGGGTTTGTGGAATGTCTCTTGAGGCATTATGATGGCAAGTATGACACTGTTTCCCAGGATGGTAAGGACGTACATGCCAGCCATAGGAATAGATATCCAGAAATGGGACACTTCCAAGCCTGGGATCCCTAGTAAAATGAAGTTCTCTGGCTGGTAGAAGGTCTCATTTTCCCCAGACGAGGCAACGTTCATTGCTGGAGATAAAAGAGGGTAAATATGAAATGTTGACGCAGTGGTAATACAACCCTGATCTGGCTTTCAGTTTTGGTGGATGGCCATGGCCATATGTCCCAGGGTCAGTGGTTAGTAGGAGGACATATATGCCCCAGTGTCGATGGTGAGTAGGAGGACATATATGCCCCAGTGTCGATGGGGAGTAGGAGGACATATATGCCCCAGTGTCGATGGTGAGTAGGAGGACATATATGCCCCAGTGTCAGTGGTGAGTAGGAGGACATATATGCCCCAGTGTCAGTGGCGAGTAGGAGGACATATATGCCCCAGTGTCAGTGGTGAGTAGGAGGACATATATGCCCCAGTGTCAGTGGCGAGTAGGAGGACATATATGCCCCAGTGTCAGTGGTGAGTAGGAGGACATATATGCCCCAGTGTCAGTGGTGAGTAGGAGGACATATATGCCCCAGTGTCAGTGGCGAGTAGGAGGACATATATGCCCCAGTGTCAGTGGTGAGTAGGAGGACATATATGCCCCAGTATTAATGGTAGGTTGAAGGAGAAAATACTCAGGCATCAGTGGTGAGTGGAAGGAAACATTTGTATTGAGATTGTAGTCCATCCCTGAGATCCCTCTAGTGATAATAAAGATCTATATAGAGGGATCAGGACCTCCTTCCTCCTGCTGGGGACCCCTCTAGTGATAGATCTATATAGAGTAATCAGGACCTCCTTCCCCTTCTCCTGCTGGGGACCCCTCTAGTGATAATAAAGATCTATATAGAGGGATCAGGACCTCCTTCCTCCTGCTGGAGATCCCTCTAGTGATAATAAAGATCTATATAGAGGGATCAGGACCTCCCTCCTCCTGCTGGGGACCCCTCTAGTGATAATAAAGATCTATATAGAGGGATCAGGACCTCCTTCCTCCTGCTGGGGACCCCTCTAGTGATTGGTCTAACATGGGACTTTATGACATGTGATGCATCCAACCCTGTGCTGAAAAGGAGCCTCAATGCACCCGACACACACATAGGGGCAAATAAATATTCCATGCCCTGTACACATCAATAGATCTATGCTTAAAGTCGGGGGGCGGTGGAGGAGAAAGGGGACGGAGTGGATTCGTGGTAATGTATGGCAGATGATCCTATAATACAGAGAGACCTGTATATGAAGCAATCCAGACTCACCGATATCACAGCGAGGTCATACAGCCCGGACATCGGAGCCAGCCGTGTGCTGCGGGGAGACTGAGCCTGCCGTGTGCTGCGGGGAGACTGAGCCTGCCGTGTGCTGCGGGGAGACTGAGCCTGCCGTGTGCTGCGGGGAGACTGAGCCTGCCGTGTGCTGCGGGGAGACTGAGCCTGCCGTGTGCTGCGGGGAGACTGAGCCTGCCGTGTGCTGCGGGGAGACTGAGCCTGCCGTGTGCTGCGGGGAGACTGAGCCTGCCGTGTGCTGCGGGGAGACTGAGCCTGCCGTGTGCTGCGGGGAGACTGAGCCTGCCGTGTGCTGCGGGGAGACTGAGCCTGCCGTGTGCTGCGGGGAGACTGAGCCTGCCGTGTGCTGCGGGGAGACTGAGCCTGCCGTGTGCTGCGGGGAGACTGAGCCTGCCGTGTGCTGCGGGGAGACTGAGCCTGCCGTGTGCTGCGGGGAGACTGAGCCTGCCGTGTGCTGCGGGGAGACTGAGCCTGCCGTGTGCTGCGGGGAGACTGAGCCTGCCGTGTGCTGCGGGGAGACTGAGCCTGCCGTGTGCTGCGGGGAGACTGAGCCTGCCGTGTGCTGCGGGGAGACTGAGCCTGCCGTGTGCTGCGGGGAGACTGAGCCTGCCGTGTGCTGCGGGGAGACTGAGCCTGCCGTGTGCTGCGGGGAGACTGAGCCTGCCGTGTGCTGCGGGGAGACTGAGCCTGCCGTGTGCTGCGGGGAGACTGAGCCTGCCGTGTGCTGCGGGGAGACTGAGCCTGCCGTGTGCTGCGGGGAGACTGAGCCTGCCGTGTGCTGCGGGGAGACTGAGCCTGCCGTGTGCTGCGGGGAGACTGAGCCTGCCGTGTGCTGCGGGGAGACTGAGCCTGCCGTGTGCTGCGGGGAGACTGAGCCTGCCGTGTGCTGCGGGGAGACTGAGCCTGCCGTGTGCTGCGGGGAGACTGAGCCTGCCGTGTGCTGCGGGGAGACTGAGCCTGCCGTGTGCTGCGGGGGAGACTGAGCCTGCCGTGTGCTGCTGGGAGACTGAGCCTGCCGTGTGCTGTGGGGAGACTGAGCCTGCCGTGTGCTGCGGGGGACGAGGTATTTATACATATAGACGCGGACATACAAGCGAGCCATTGCCATGGCGAGTCCCCAAGGAGAACTGGCTTTTCCCAGTGCCCGGTGTTTTCACGTGTCCTCTGTGCACTTCTATTTCTGGCTCAGACGGGGAATCACATTGTAATTATCATTCTCAGAGAGTTCACTGAAATACACTCATTACAATGTGAGGGTTACAATGGGGGGAGGTGGATATATGGTACAGTCTGTCATGAGTCCCCCTCATAAAACACAGAAGGGTCAGCTACAGGGATTGGGACAAACCATACAACACTGACGGGGGTGCTTACTTTTTATTCATATGGCTTAGAAATAAAATAAAAAACTGTTTTCTTTACCTACTTTATTGTAATTTTAAGTCGGACTTTAATTTGCCGGTTACTTAAGTCCATCTAAAATTCCATGTCCATCAACGACTCTCCTGTCCGCGAGGTGACAGCGCTGCTGTGTGATTTCACTGCCGAAAGAACAGCGTTGTCACTCTGTTACAGGAAGTGCAAAAAGCAGATCTATCGGCAACAGTAAACAGGTAATAAATGCAACATGGTGAGAATAATGAGGTCTACAGAACCCCAGAGTGGGCACTGAACACCGTGAGGCCTTATTTTTCCAAAATGTACCATTCAGTGGCAAATGCTGAGATTGAACAGTCAGCTACAGACACAAAGCAGGCCATTGTAGCCCCCGTCACCTTCTGTGATGTGGCTACTAGACATTTAGTGATTGCCGGGGCTGTAGTCGGCCTGGCTGGATTTATAGTGGCATTTATCTGGTTATTCCCATGTGTCTGGCATTGCCTGTACCCCCCCCCCCCCCCCCCCGGGGGGGGGCCGCGCCTGCTCCTGAG